AACTCTTGGACCAGAGGTTTTACTGGTAAATTCTAACAAATATTTAAATTCTAGCAAATATTTAAAGGGAAAAAAACACCAATTTCGAATAGACCTTTCAGAAAACAGAAGAGCAAGGAACGCTTCCCAACTCGTTTCCTGAGGCCCAAATAACCCAGAGTCTAAAACCTGACAAAAAATATGACAGGAAAAGAAAATTGCCCACAATAGTCCTCTTGAATATAGATGTGAAAATCCTCAGCAAACCGTAAGCAAATAACAGAGAAGGGAGCACTCTTCATGGCAGATGGACTCGAACAGTCAATGCACGCTATACCAGTGGGTGCAAATTTGATGACAAGCACACTTACAAAGCCTCAAAGTGACTCCCCTTCTTACGTCCAGAGGGGAAAGAAGTCCCTAAAAGCTGGGCAGACACCGCTTCTATCTCCCCAGTCACCAGAGTCAACAAAGGCCAACTTCAGAACAAACTGGAGTCTTGGGCCTCCCGCCAGGACACATGAGAACATGTTACTTCATGTTTCTTGCCAAACAGAGCCTGAATCCAATCATGAGGAAACATCAGACAAACCCAGACTGGGAGACATCCTACCAAAGAACTGGCCTGTGTCTTCACATGGAAACGTTACAAAACTCAGAGGCTGGGGACCTGCTCCAGATAAAAGGAGACCGAAGAGATGGGACAATTCCATGCACCTAGTGATCCAGGACTGGATCCTGGACGAATGACAACATCTGAACTTGAACTGTGGAGGAGATAGCAGCATTGTACCAGTGCTAGATTTCCTGATTTTGATCAATGTGCTATGGTTGTTTAAGAGAGTATTTCCTTGTCTTTAGGAAATACACATTGAAATATTTAGGACTGAAGGGGCATAATGTCTCTCACTCCCAAATGGCTCCGGTAAATACATACACATACATACATGTGTATCTGTGTGTGTGTGTGTGTGTGTGTGTGTGTGCGCGCGCGCGTATACGCACGCATAAGGAGGGAGACTCAAATAAATTCTCCTGGAGAAGCTGGATAGAGGGTATGCAAGAGTTCAAGAGTTCATTCCTGAGAATTTTCTACAAGTTGAAAATCAAAACAAAATGAGAAATTATCCACCCCCCCAAATTTTTAAAGAACTCTCCCACTGCCCCCCAAAAAAGAAAAAAGTGGGGGGTCGGAAGGAAAAGAGAAAAGGAGGGAGGGAAGAAGGGCTTCCTGTCTCTGAACCTGCTTTCCTCACTGCACACACTGCCTGGGTCAGCAGCTCACCCGCTAGTCTACGTGGAATCTGCACACAGCAGACATGAGGGGGAAGAACACTGAGTGGCGGGAAGGTGGCGGGGGGGGGGCAGGGGGGAGGGCTGCAGGGAAGGGAAATTATCCCAACATGAAAAGGCTTGCGCGCCGAGCTCGGAGGACACAGCTCTCTGACCCGGCTCGAGGCAGACTTGTACAGAGTGGTGGCCACAATAAATGAGCACGCAGGGCTCCCGTATCCAGGGTAACGGGCAACTGAAGAGTGCCCAGTATCTCCAGCCACCCCTCTCCCTCCGCCACACCCACGTGACCTTATTACGACCCGTAGACAACACTTCCAGAATCATTAAAAGCCGGCCAGCGCGCCGAGTGACAGGAAGCGATATTCTGGTGGCCCCGGGAACGAGTCGCACGGAATGACCGTCTTCACAAAGTTACTCGGGGCCAACTGTTCTTTAGAAGACACCACCACAGCCTTCTTTTTAAGGAAATGCGCAAATAAAAATGAGCTTAAGAATAGGAATGACGACAAAAAAAGAGGAAGCCTGAATGTGAAAACGTGTTGAGAGAGAAAAATAGGCTTCTGACAATTAGTTATAATCTCAGAATGCTAATGGCCTTCCTGCGAGCAAGAGGAATTCTAATTGGTCTCCGGTGGCCTGTTTATGCTGTCTAGATCTAATTACAGAATGGGGCGCTGCCGGTCTCTACCGATTCATTCATTCAACAACTAACATTTATTTAGTACTGACTCTGGGCCTGGCACTGTGCTGGGTGCCGATGGGAGAAAGCCACCTGTGTTCAGAAGCTCACACTTCTGAAGGAGGAATCAACACCCAGCGCAATTGCTAAATGACAGAAGACAGATGACGAAGCAAGCCTTCTGACTGCACGAAGGAGGGGGTCACGGGCGCCGTCTACCAGATAGGGAGAGATTTCACGAACCGGAATGCGTGTGCCCGTGAGAAAGCAGGGTGGAAGAAACCAGCCTGTAATTTCCATCGCGTAACTCAATGTACAAATGCCCAGGCCACGTCTCGTTGGCTACCTCTGATTTCCCTAATCAAGTGCGCACCAGGGTCGCCGGCACCAGCATGAGCTGACGGTCGCCTCTAATGGGAGCGAAGGGAAAAAAGTGCAGAGGCACATTTTGCCTCCAGAGGCACCCGGGTTCCTCTGGGCGAGACGCAGAGAACCGCACTGTTCTTGGAGCGCCCGCGCGCGTGTGTGTGTGTGTGTGTTTCCGTGTGGTGGGCCGCGGCCACGTTCACGCCGCGTGGCTGGGAAGAGAGTCCAAAGCACGAGGGTGTCGGAGCAGCACAACTGACTGCTCTCCTCTCCTCACCTGTCACCTCACAAGCACATGTGGGTGCTCACAGTGTTCGGGGGTCACTCACGGACCAGCTGAGAGCCCTGCCCTCCTTGGGGAGCTCTGTAAACCACACGTGTGGGCTTCTCCTAGGGGAAGGAAATCTGCTCTCTGCCCATCCCGTCACTTCTGAGCTAAAGAGAACGGGGCCCTCTGTGCGCCTCGACACAGGGTGTCCGAGGGGTGGGTCCTCTCCAGGAACGACCCCCTCTTGGCCTTCGGGCTCCAGGAAAGGGACACAGAACAGCTTCTGAATCTGACCAAAAAGCATGCATGGGTTGGACAAGACAGCCTGAATCCTGCTTCCAACAGGGCTCCATGGGAAGGGAAGGGGAGCTCCTCCAGAAATACCCTGAAACGTGGGTGCATCCTGGCCTGCAAAGGGTTCAAGACTAAACGTTCTTTGCAGCCACGTCTGGAAGCTTTCACATTCAAGTAATGATATCAGTCACTCACTTAGAATGAAAAACACAATTTATGTAAACTAATTTGTTCTGTAAGTGATTTGTGGAGATAGCTTTTTGAAGGCTTGTTGTATTTTCCAAATATTTTCGCCAGAAGAAAAAAGGAGGAGGAGGAGGAAGAGGAGGAGGGGAAAAAGAATATTGCTGGCAAGAATGTAGTGGTTGAAAACAAAACCAAATAAAAATCATGCAAAAATGCCTCCAGCATTATCTTTCACGGTATTATCAGGCTGGAGGGATAAGATACTTGGTTGTCGGTCGTAACCTTGGGTACTTGCCTAACCAACTTCCCAACAAAAAAGATCTAGCTGGCAAAGTTCACTGCTCAACTGCCAAACAGTCCAACTAAATGCTATTACCTGAGTTCATTTTGCAAAATAAATTTAATTTCTTATAGGGAAACTTGAAATTTATAAAAGAACCCTGGAGAATTTGAATTTTAATAATCAATTATTCTTCAGCCTGATTCATCTTACAAACATATGGAATATGCAAAAATGTGAATTAGTTTAAAAAGCCAGCCCTGTAACTCACAGTTGAGGAAAACTTCTACATAAATGAAGAAGAATTACCAAACGCTCTCATGCTACAATAGAATTTTCTAGCGCCGTGCTGCTTGTTTCCTCACTTCGAGAAAGAATCCCTCTCACCTCATTCTTCTTCAACCAAGAAAACAGCCATCTCCTGTATCTTATTGTATTCAGAAATAAGGCCCAGGATTTTTTAAATCTTTACGTGTGGTTTTTCTAAACTGCTAGGATAATTCTGGGGTATTTACTCTTGTAAGAGAAACACGGGGCGGGGGAGGGGGCGTGCCGTGCAGCACCGTCTGCTTGGGTCAGCGGACAGGGGAGCAGCCGCACAAAACAAGATGGCCGCGGGTACCCTTCCCTCGGGCCACAGAGGAGAAGGCACGAGAGTCTTCGAGAGTCTTCGTCTAAGCCCGGGAGTCTCTGTGTGTAAGGCGATACGTGAAAGCTGGTACTGGCTCATTAGCAGCTACTTCATGAGTGAAGGTTCCAGAAGCAAGGAGAAAGTCCACGACTATACAGTCACTTCACAGTGGGTACAGAATCATACAAACCCAGGGATGCCACAAAATTAACTATTTTTTTAAGTTTATTTATTTATTTTTGAGAGAGAAAGAGGAAGCGAGCATGAGTGGGGAAGGAACAGGGAGAGTGGGCAACGGAGAGTCCCAGGCAGGCTCCGCACTGTCAGCACAGAGCCCGACACGGGGCTCGAGCTCACGAGCCATGAGATATGACCCAAGCTGGAATCAAGAGTCTGACGCTTAACCCACTGAGCCACCCAGGCGCCCCTAGAATTCAAAGAAGAAAATGGAGTATTTGTCCTAGTCCTCTCACTATACACCTTTCACTGGTGTGAGCACCGATACTTGAATAGGGCATTTCTCAAACTGCTGCACTCTTCAGAGTGGACTCTCATACCCACTGACACACCTACGTCCGGCCTGTCCTCACCTATAAACAGACACACAGGCCGACTGGATTTTTCCTAATTGCCCGAGGACTACCCAAAACCATCTCCCATACTACACTGGGCCCCTTGCTTTGGGAAACAAGGCCCATGATCCCAGTGGGTTCAAGGACTGACTGGCCTATAAATCTCTGCATCTCGCCCGGCAGAAGTCTGTATCTTGCCTCAACTCTGCCTAAACTTTGATTTCGACAGCTCTGCTGTCTTGAAACAACTGTCGATCCAAGGATGATTGTTTTCGAAACACGCACGCGTCCGAACTGTGGACCTTCTCCGGCCGAGGCCAAATCGCCCGGTGCCATGTTCGGGCAAGTGCTGGCCAACACCGAACACCTGTCATACTGACAGTCAGGCTCACTCCGAGCTTGGGACCGTCCACCAGGGTGTGGGGCTGTCGTTCCCTAGACAGACTCACGTTCACGGCTTCTGCTTTATATTCGTCGTCGCTGTCTGGGGCAGAGAGTGCCAGCAGGATCGGACACACTTTGTTTTCAATATCGTGCTGGGAAATTAGATCTTGTTCCAGAAGAATCAAGAGCACTTCCTGACTTGACTTTCTAACCTAGAAGAGGACAAAAGGCCAAAGGTGAAACACGGAACGAGCGGAGGTGCTCTCGGGACCCAAACTCCCGATGCAGGGTGCCAAGCTGGCCCTGTCCCCTGCCGCGTGCATGGGCCACACAAGGCCTCCCGCCCTCCACCTGTACTTCTTCCCGGAGGCCCTAGAATACGCCGCTCCCCCTGCCGGGCTGGTTCCCTCCGTTCCTCTCCTCTCAGGCCAAACATCCCTTTCCCCAGAACCCCTCTCAAGGCATGTCCCCCATCGGTCTGTGACATGCCCCCCCTTTTCCCTCACGACCCGTACCCCAGCTTTCTACGCAGACACTCGCCTACGCACACATAGGGGGCCGGGGGGCAGGGGCCCAGAGAAGACCCTGCAAGACAGGACCCAGAGGACGCCTCAGTCCAGACCAGAGAGGAGCCAGGCCGACGAGCTCTTTGTTCTTCAGAGTGGGGGGGGGGGGGGGGGGTGAGCGAACACTGCAACTCGGGGGGGATCCCGGGAAGCTGCCCAGAGAACACGCTTGGGGAAATGAAAGCGCAGGAAATTCCAATTTACAGCCCAGGTAATGGCAGACGCGGCCCAGCACAGTGAGGCTGAGGCAGGAAAAGAGCGGGGCCGAGGGTGTGAAGACAGAGTGGCAGCTTGGCAGACGACAGTTACAAAAGACGCCACGCAGGCTGACCACGCACTCTGATGTGGAAGCCTCCCAGCAAGTGACAAGATGAAAACAGTCTTCTAGAAAGATCATTCCGGCAGCGGCGTTCCAAGTAAATTGGAGGCGATGAAAGACCGAGGGCAGAAAGGTCGGCAAGGCAGCTACTGCCACAGTCCCCGTGGGAGGGGCGGGGAGAGAAAAGATGATGCCCCGGCAGTACTGCCAGGCTGAGGTGACAGGAGCTGCTGTCCAACTAGAGGCAGCAAAAGCCCCCAATAACGCTTATTGAGCTTCTGGTGCATGCCTGGAGCAGAGACCGGGAGAGCAGCGCAGACCAGGAGGGCCGGCCCCAGTCCCAGGTGGCAGCTGAGGCGCAGCAGGCAGGAAGGGCAGGGCCTGGGCGGACGCGGAGGAGAACGTCAAAGGCGATTAGAAGCCAAGGTTAGGCGCCGGGGGCGGTGGGCGAAGCTACGTGTGCATCCAATCTCTGGGGCCTTTGAACGCGACCTCCTTTGGAAAACAGGGTCTCCGCAGATGGGATTGGGGGTCACGGTAAGGACCGGAAGGCCATCCAAGATTGCCAGGATGACCCTAAGTGAAATCACAAGTCTCCTCACAAGAGAGAGGCGAGGGGGGAGGACGGACTGAGGAGGGGGCAGCACATGCAGACACAGGCAGAGGCTGGGGATGCGGCCAGCAGCCAAGGGGGTCGGCGCCTCCGGAAGCCGGAAGAGGCAACGAACAGATTCTCCCCTGGAGCCTGGAGAGCAAGCGTGACCCTGACGACACCTGGGTCTGGGACTTCCAGCCTCCGCATCTGTGACAGAATAAACGTGCGCCGTTTTAAGCCCCCTGGCTTGTGGTGCTGTTTCGGCCGCTCCTGGGCACTGCTAGAGCAAGCCAGGGATGGGGACAGGACAGCACGGCACATGAGCCGAGACTCGAGACAGGGAAACGGGCGGCCCAGGGGAGGGAGGCTGAAGGGCCGGCTGGGGTCGGGCAGGGCTGGGGCCTCTGGCGATGACTCCCGGACACTGGGAGCCCCACGCGTGGGAAAGCAGAGGAGTGACAAGACCAGACACGGCTTCGGGGAGGGTGACCCGTGAGAAGCCTCAAGCGGCCCTGAAAGCTGCAAGGGCGGGCGAGGGGTCCCGGGGCACAGCTGCTCTGGCTTTGACCGAGGCGTGGTTTCGGGGGGTGGGGCACAGAGAGGAGAGGGGAGGTTTGAGAGACGCTGCCGAAGAGAGCTCAGCTGGTCACTGCGGACGATCCTGGAAATCAACTATGCCTCGGGCTACCGCCGATCACCACATGGAAGACGTGGAAAGAGGCGCAAGACCGAAGGTAAAAAGAACAGGAGTGGGTGCTGGAGTCTGAGGGCCCGACGCGACGCAACAGATGCCCCGGGAGAACCATCAGGGGGCTGTGGGGACGCGCCAGCTCTGGAGGCCTGGGTGAGAGGCAGCCACGTGCCCGCAGAGGCAGAGGGGATCACCCAGGGAATCCGACACGGTGAGAAAACGACACCGTGGAGGGCGGGCCAGGGCCAGGGCCTGGGGAGGACCAGACCGGCAGGCAGGCAAGGGGTTGGGGGGACACCTGGGTCGCCCACAGGAGACACCGCAGTGGTTTCAAGGCTGCGCCTCATCTGCATCCCACAATCAGTAGCTGGGCCCCCTCGGGCAAGCCTCGGCTTCTTGTCCACAGAAGGGCACGATGGCCTCACCCACCTCCCAGGGCAGCCATGGGGGGCACGACCAAGGGCTCAGAACGGTGTGAGGGCGCCAGTGGCCCCCAAATGAATGCCGCTTCACTGGCACTGAAATCCTATGGCTAGTCACCAAGACAGAGATAGAGGCAGTGAGGTGACCCTGGTGCACATCTGCTTGACGACGAGCTCCGGGAGGAACGGAGAACGTGGCCCGGTCGGCCCTGTGCCCCATCGTGGGGGAGAGCAATGTTAAGTGGCCAGGGGACATCCGAGAAAGGTTCTTCAAAAACCCGAAAGTAGTTAATGGTGACCAAGGGCGCAAAAAGATCAAGTAAAGGCAAAAAAGAAGTCACTCAAAAGATAAATCGATTGTGGAATAAGTATAAATGCAATAGTTTCAAATAGTTAAGATGAATGACCAAGAGCTCTCTGGATCAGTGTGGCTAGATCTTAAAACGGAGGAATAAAAGCAAGGGGCAGAAGGCAAATACGGTCTGATGCCATTGATTTAAGGTTCTAAAGCACCTGAAACAAGGCACTCTCTTACTCGGGGCCGCTTACACGACCGGTGGGAGTCTAAAACTCTGGATGGGAGGGACACCCCAGGCTCAAGAGGGGAGAGAGGGAGAGGAATGGCATGAGAAGGGGCACAGCACAGTTTTAACCGTATCTGTAACGTGTAAAGAAAGCAATTACATAGGTCTAAGGCAAAACTACAAAAGGCTGACATTTGCTGAGTGAGTGTGTAGGTATACGGGTATTTATTACACAGTCCTCTCGTGTCATTAAAATATTCCACGGTATTTTAAAGATCAAAACTATTTTTGAAGAAACAGAAACACTGGGGCGCCTGGGTGGCGCAGTCGGTTAAGCGTCCGACTTCAGCCAGGTCACGATCTCGCGGTCCGTGAGTTCGAGCCCCGCGTCGGGCTCTGGGCTGATGGCTCGGAGCCTGGAGCCTGTTTCCGATTCTGTGTCTCCCTCTCTCTCTGCCCCTCCCCCGTTCATGCTCTGTCTCTCTCTGTCCCCCAAAAAATAACTAAACGTTGAAAAAATAAAAATTAAAAAAAAAAAAAAGAAAAGAAACAGAAACACTGGATTTCACAGTAAGACAGCTGAGTCCCCAGCAGGACACGTCTCCACGGGCTCTCGGGGCATCGGCTGCAGTGGGTTGGGTTGCCGCCTGGCTGGGAGCCCTTGCAGGGAAGAGGCTCCGGACGGACAGACGCTCCTCTTTCAAGAAGCTCGGCAGTGGTCCGCTCAGGGTCAAGGCCAGGGAACAGGAGGCTGAGGGAGATGTAGGCATGATGATACTCAAAAGAGAAAAGCCAGTGCGGGAGACTGGAAAAGTAAGGCAGCTAGGAGACAAGAAGCGGGAACAAAGAGGCAAATTCTGAAGCCATCAAATGTGAAGAGGGGTTGGGACACCCATTCCCCCGGAGACAGAAGGCAAGTAGCTCAAGACAGCTGAAGCAATGTGGCTACACTAGCGAATGGCGTCGGCTGATTCAGTTCTACAGCCCTCCACTCCAACTCTACCGGGTCCCAGGCCCTGGGCTCGGTCTCAGAGATGTATCAAATTAAGACACGGTTCCTACAGTCAGTGCTCAGAGTCTAAAAGGGTAGAGAAAATACTAGTTACAGGATCCAGAAGAGCCCGGGCAATCCCCAAACATCTACCAGATGAGCCTCAGGAAACCAAGCCCGGCATCCCGGGGTCCTTCTCCAGCTCAGCCGCGCCCCAGCACACACAACCACGTTTCTCTGCACCTCAGCTCCCTCACCTCTAAAACAAAGAGGAACTAATGAGCCCCTACTTTGCAGGGTGGTTAGGAAGGGTAAACAAGATAATCCTCGCTAATCCCGGAGCATGGTGCATCACATGGTGAGAGATCAAGAAACGGAAGCTGTTCACAGTACCGGCGACCACAGTAAGGATACCGACACCCGGCATGATTCTGTGATTTCATACCTCCCACGAGTCACTGCAAGTGCCACGGCCAGAAAGAGTACCCGATGACGATGACAGACGGAGGAAGGCCTGGGTTGAGCTGCAGACACTCCGGGACCGGGGACGGGACACACCCACCCTTCTCATATGCAAAAGAATCTGGATCTCGGCCTAATTCAGATCTTACTACCCCCTGGGGGACCGTGAGGCACTCCCACAGGGTGGGAGGGGGGATTTCTGAAAGGGCTGGCCTCAGTCACAGTGAGGCAGAGCTGGACAGGAGGAGGAGAAGAGGGGCCTCTGGAAGGAACAAGGCTACCAGCCTGGGCAGAGTGAGGGGGAGGCACCAATTGGAGGTGCCATGGCGGGTGGGGGGCTGGAGGCCCATGGAGTCGGCTGTGCCCGAAGGCACTGCAGAGTCTGAAGGAAAACCTTCGGGGAGATCGGACTCTGCTGCCTTTCTATGTTTGGAGGTGATAAGAACGGAGAAGAGGGGGCGCACTCAAGAGTTATATGTTTATCATGAACAGAAAGGACACACGGCAAGGTCCAGCTGGGCGAGGGAGGCAAGAGAAGGGAGGATTTCGATGGCCCCAGGCTGTGGCTCCGGGGGACTGGAAGAAGCAGACGCGGCTTCCACTCATCACTCATCGAGGGAGGGGATGAAGACTGAAGGTCTCTATTTCCTCTGTGGAGGCAAAGGCCAGGTCACCTGTTTGGTGCCAGGCAGGGCAAGGTGAAGAGGCTTGATGACAGTGGCAGAGGCCTGAAAGAGCTGCCTTGGGCGACGTGGGAGCAGCTGAGCAGGGACAAGTGAAAGGGTAGGCGGACAGTGCTGCAGTCGGCTGCGATCGAATCCGTAAGTGTGCAATGGCACCAATCAGTGCACCCCCCGCCCCGCAGACTCAGCCTCCGTGATGCAGGAGGGCTGTGATGGGCAGGCAGGACCAGAGCGGCAGAGGCACTGTCAGAAGGACACAACTGGGGGGGCGGGGGGGGGGGGGGGGGGGGGGGGGGAGGGTACCAGTGGAGAGACCAGAAAGGGGGAGATGAGGGAGGGGACAGCCGAGGAGGACCTCAGGGACCCGTGAAGGCTCAGCGCGGTGGCTGAGCAGGGAGGGCAGGCTGCGGTGAGGGGGTGGAAGGCCCTCTTGGGGACTTGAGCTCCGGAGACGCCAAGGCAAAAGGAGTGGCCACCGTGCGAGGGCAGTGGGTCTGGCTGTCGCAGGGCCTGAGCCACTGATATGACTCTTCAGCACACACAGCCGAGAGCCTGGGGTCCAAACCACCGTTCTAGCCTCTCCCCTTCTGGAACCAAACAGATGGCAGTGATCTATGACAAAGGTCAAGGAAATGTCAAGTTCTCTGACCCAGTGCAATCTCGTTTTCAAGAACATATCCAAAGGTAAAAGAACAGATGCTCACTGCATCTACCGTATCAAAAAAGCTGGAAGAAAGCTAAGCTTTCAACCAAAGTAAAAACAGGAAGATTATGAAGATGTACAATGTCCACTACGTGCAGATTCGCTTTCTGGGGCAGGAAATCGGTCCTACTCAGGTCTTTATCCCCAGCACAAAGCACCACGCTTGGCTCATATCGGGCACTCAGAAACCGCCAGAATAAATGAATGGATGGGGAAAACTGCATCACGTTAAGCTCAGACCTATGTGGGGGAAGACGGAAGCACCTAGACAAGAACATGTAAAAGTAATCCAAACACTGACATCAGGAGAGGGGAAGCAGAAAGACTGTCTTCCTTATTGGAACACTGCCTTTAACCCTGTCATAGTTAACAGCTCAAGTATTTGCTTTTTAAAAATGCTCAGAGCAAGGGAGAAATAGCAAGCCAAAATGGCAGAACTATCTGCAAACAGTAATAATGAAAACTTGGCATATCATTAAAAATCATAAACACATTTAGCCTCTAGGGTGCCTGGGTGGCTCAGTTCATTAAGCATCCAACTCCTGATTTCAGCTTAGGTCATGGCCCGCGTCGGGCTCTGCACTGACAGCACGGAGCCTGCTCGGGATTCTGTCTCTCCCTCTCGCTTCTCCCTCCCCTGCTCCCATTCTCTCTCTCAAAATAAATAAATAAACTTAAAAAAAAAAAAATACAGTTAGCCTTTGTGCAAATCCCAGAGTAACTGACAAATAGAAAGGCTGCGAGGCTCCCTGTGGCAACAATTCTAAGTGACAGGAAAGTAGAAAGAAGCCAAGTGTCTATCAATAAACTACGCTCCATCCTCGCAGTGGAGGAGCTTGCTGCTGGAAAAAGGGATGAGGGAGCTCTGCCTAGACTGCAAAGGAGTGATCTGCAGAATACCCTGGATGGTAGGGAAAGCAAGGGACAGAGCATCAGGCATGGCCCGCCACTTTGCATCTGAGAAAGGAACAAGGAACACAAGGACATACGCGTATCTGCTCAGTTACCCTCTTGTGTGCACTAAAAAAAAAAAAATTTTTTTAATGTTTCTTTATTTTTGAGAGACAGAGAGAGAGGGAGGCAGACTGCAAGCCGGGGAGAAGCAGAGAGGGGGAGACACAGAATCCGAAGCAGGCTCCAGGCTCTGAGCTGAGCTGTCGGCAGAGACCCCCGACGCGGGGCTCGAACTCACGGACTGCGAGATCGTGACCTCAGGTGAAGTTGGACGCTTAACTGACTAAGCCACCCAGGGGCCCCCCCTGTGTGTATTTTTTAAAGGTAAGAATAAATTAAAACCTAGGGGGCGCCTGGGTGGCTCAGTCTGTTGAGCATCCAACTCTTGATTTTGGCTGAGGTCACAATCTCATGGTTCGTGAGTTCAAGCTCTGCCTTGGGCTCTGTGCTGATAGCACGGAGCCTGCTTGGGATTCTCTTTCTCTGCCCCTCCCCTGCTCATGATCCATCTCTGTCTCTTTTGCTCTGTCTCCAAATAAATAAATAAACTTTTTTTTTTTAAAGAAAAAAAAGAATAAGTCAAAACGTAGAAAAAATGGCTATCTACAGAAGGAGTAGGGAACAGATGGGGGAGGTAGGGATAGAAGTCAGATTTTTCTGAATGTGCTTTGCTTTACAGTTTTGACTTGGAATCATGTACAAACATCTTAAATAATTATTATAAGTCTAAATTAAATCCAAACGTAAAAGCTAAAGCAATTCCTAAAACTAAAAAATAAATGAAGATAAATGAGCCTAATGGCAGATCAAGTTGAGAGCTCAGGCACAAAAAGGGTTAATACAAGTAACTTTGAAACACAGTCTCATTAATACTAATGTTAATAGGACTGTGCGACTGTGCATCTCTAGTGGGAGACAGTCCAAAAACAAAAAGAACGGCAAAGAAACCTTAAACTATACTCAGTTATCCCACCAAACTGTTAGTAATCATACTGGCATTTTTATTTTGGATACACACACACACACACACACACACACACTAATGCCATTAAAAAGCAAGATGTGTACCGTGTAAAAAGACAAAAACAAAACAACAAAAAAGCACAAGAGTTACAAATATAAAATCAAATAAGTAAAAGCCCTATAATCCTCAATTTAACGTGGAAATATCAATACAAACTCATGGTGGGGAATTTTGTAAAGAACAGATAAGGCTGACAAAACCCAAATGCAGTGGCCACACTGCTTTTGTGCTTCCTGATCTGATACAGCAATAGGGCCTAAAAAGGATTCTTATCCAACAACCCAAAACTCTGAGTCTGACCAAGGCTGTAGACTTAAGTAGCAGTTCGTAGGAAGTACTGGGAACAGAGGAACATTTCAAACCACACTATGGGGATGTAATCAGCCAGATCCCAAATGTGGGGAATCCTATAGTCTAATGACTTAGTTTCCTTGGAGCAGAGGAATAAAAGGGAGGATGAATTATGACAAATTAAAAGAAATTGTAAAAGGTACATCAATCAAATGTAATATATGGACCTCATGTGGATTTGATTTAAAGAGACTGCCCGCATAAAACCAGATTTCTGAGAAAAGTGAAAAATCTGAACAATGACTAGAGATTAGTGAAATATCAAAGATCTATTCATAAATTCTATCCATGTGATAATGGGATTGCTATTATGTGTTTTAAAAAGTATCTGTATTTCTCAGAGAGTAATACTAAAGCATCTACAGTAAAAATGATATGGTATCTGGGAAATGCTTTTATCTGGGTTGGATTATCTTAAGATAAATGAGAAAACACTGGTCAAATGTTAATGACAGTCGAAGCTGGGTAGAGAGTACACGGACATTCATTTTAATATTCTCTCTACTGCTGTGTGTTTGAAAATTTCCATAATAAAAAGTTAAAAAAAAAAAGAAGTATCTCATGATAATAAGAATGAGTGCTACCCGCCTGAACAATTGGAGGAACCGAGCACAAATAGATCTTTTGTTCTTGAATCACTTAACTCCACAAAGCTGTTTTCTGAATTATGGATATCAGCTACAAATATGACTAAGGAGAATTCGCTGCACAGATCTTAAGGTTACAATTTTTCACACCTGGTTGTTCGGATCCGTGAGGTACCTCACTACGATCGGTGTAAGATAGTCCGCGAGCACCCCTGGAAAATTCGATCTGTTTTCTTGTAAAAAGACGGCAATGGGAGGAATCTGTTCCACCAGGTCGGTCCGCACCGTGGGCTCTGCAGCAATAAAAAATCAGAAAAGAATCGTATAAGAATAAGCCAAGCATCTTACAGAGTGAGTGTATGGCGATAGTTTCTAGCTTTTCTTACTAAAATACTTCATCAAGGAAATTAGACAAACGCAGTTTAAAAATCATTTCCCGTTTAGAGTATTTATGCTACAGACAGGCTTAAAAAGCTAATAAGCTATCCAGCAATATAAAAACATAAAAGGAAGGGAGAATGACAACTCTATTATAACAAGCCATATATAAATCGAGGAGGGAGCAGGCAGTCTGCAACGCTGGGCCAGCGTCCAAAAGCCATTACAACTAATGGCACATATGCCAGACCTATGGGTTGTGCTTATTTAAATTCCAGCCGGAATGTATACATTATAAATAATTCTTTCATAAGTGCACTCCCCCACAATCCACGCATCCCAATTATTTCTAAGGCAGAGCATTAAACAAAAGAGAGGCTCTAGCTCCAATATACCACATTAAATTTAACACAAATATATAATTGCTTCAGCACTGTAAATGGTGACTCATTTACAAAGAGAACCCATTTAAGGATTCAAAACATCCACTTGGGCCTTTTTAAAAGCATTGTGTCATATTCATCTGAATATTTTAAACTAATACAGGAGCTATATGGAATGTTTATTTTTCTATTTTCAGTGAAAATGATCAAAATCTAAAGCAGTGTAAGATTTCAGAAACTTTCTGAAGCTGTTCACTGATCGTTACAAATGGGGGGTCAGGGGGCGCAGGGCAGCTCTCAGTACTGGTAACCCCACCACTCACTCCTGCGTGCATGGGGGAGGGGGGGCGAGGAGGGACATCTCAGTGTCTACCACCCAGCAGCGTGCTTTCCTCCCCGGAGAGCAATCATGGAGAGGTAGAGAGAGAGAGAGAGAGAGAGAAATCAAGATCAGCCTACAAAGATTACAGGTGACGGAAACTAATGACTGGGATTGTTCTAATCCAAAAGACTTCTTTTGATGTGGTCTTTCTTAGCAACCAACAGTCGGGCAAAATGCATGAAATACAAAAGGCCTTAACTGCCAGGGCAAATGGCATTCATGGCCATTAGTCATTCTAATTTTCTAAAAATAAGGATAATTTGATGCCAAATAAGACACCCATTGTTGATGACAATATCCATTCATGCTTAGACATTGCTTAAAATTTTCGATCAATACCCAGGTTTTCTTTTTAATTCACTACCGGTGGTTATGCGCAATTTCTTGAAAATACACAAGTAAAAAATAAACGTACACAATCCTTATACACACCTGCGTCTTCTGACAATCTGACCACAATCTCCATGACCATTAAGAAGTCCTCCTCATTGTTACTGAAGTCCCGGAGGATGTCATTCAGCCCTCTGGCAATAATCTGACTGTGGAGATGAGAAATGATCTATACAGTTACTTGGGCAACACTGAGTGGCGGTATGCTAATTACAGGCATTGTGTGAAGGGCAGGTAGTAAAACCAAGGAACAAAGCAAAGTCAGTGACCTCTGTCCAGAGGGAGGAGAGACGGTCAAGGAACGTCCAAAGATAGTCATTCCCATGTGGGTCACTGTCCTATAGGAACCAGACCTGTGTCCTCTGGTCTGGTGGTCACTGGAGGTTGAAACTGTCTACTCGGAGCTGGAGAAAAACGACTTTCTCCTTTTTGGATTGATTCTTCAGGCCTCGATAGACTCGGAAGAGAGGCTCCATGACAGTAGGCGGGAATTCAGTAATCAATACATGCAGAAGGAAAAGGTCCCAAGAGGCATCCAACGGCCACCTCAATCTCAAATGGCCTCTACCCACTAGGTGTCAGTAGAATCCCCCTGGCTGCCCCCCACCCCATGATGTGACAACTAAACTATGTCTCCGGACATTGCGACAGGTCTATGGGGCCAAAAATCAGCCCTGGTTGAGAATCACCTCATTAGAAGATTAAAGGTATAAGGAACCCTCTGTACTAGCTTTGCAACTCTTCTGTAAATCTAAAACTGCTGAGGGGCACCTGGGGGCCACAGTCAGTTAAGCATCCGACTCTTGATCTCAGCTCAGGTCTTGATCTCAGGGTCGTGAGTTCAAGCCCCACAATGGGCGTGGAGCCTACTTAAAATAAAATTTAAAAATTAAAAAAAATAACTAAAATTAATACTTTTATTAAAAGCCAACACCTTTGCTGGCACAGATATGAGGCAACAGGAACCCACAGATACTGTTGGTAGGAATGCAAAATAGTACAGTAATTTAGAAAACGGTAGGTTCTTAAAAAGCTAAATATGCATTTATCATTCAATCCAGCAATTCATTCTTAGGTATTTGGCCAGATGAAATGAAAACTTATGTCCACATACAGACTTGTACACAAATGTTCATACTGGCGCGATTCACAATAGCCACAAAGTGGACGAATTTCCATGTTCCTCGCCGAGGGAATATACACACAAGGCACCAACTGTCCATACAATGGACACTAAAAAGGAACAGCCTAGTGGTAATAACGGGGATAACTTCCCAACGTATTTTACTAAGGAAAAGAAGCCAGAGAGAAAAGACAACACGACACACGATTCCGTTTATAAGGAATTCTAGAAAAGGCAAAATCTTTGCCTCCAGACACAAATCGCTGGTTGCCTGGTCCGCAGCAGGGAGGAAGCGAGGGACAGGGCAAAAGCAAGAACAAGGACACAAGGCGGTGATGGCAATGTTCAAATGTGCCTCTGGTTGAGGGTTGTGTGACCGTTGGCACGTATCCACCTGGGTGCTTTAGGTGGGTGAATTTTATTGCATGACATATATGCCTCAGTAAAGCGGCGTTTTGTTTTGTTTTGTTTCTCAATGTGTATTTATTGTTGAGACACAGGGAGAGACAAGCATGAGCACGAGTGGGGGAGGGGCAGAGAGAGAGAGAGAGAGAGATAGAAACTGAAGCAGGCTGCAGGCTCTGAGCTGTCAGCACAGAGCCTGACGTGGGGCTTGAATCCACAAACCATGAGATCGCGATATGAGTCGAAGTCGGACGCTTAACCAACTGAGCCACCCAGGCACTCCAGTAAAGCAGTTTTAAACAAAGACATTAATACAGGGGAAAGTCAGTGTGATCAGCTGTGGCCTGGAGGCCTCTGCCCAAGATGAGGGACAGGCACTCTGGAAAGGCTTCTTGGAGCCAATGGAAAGGAGCCCCTGCCTGCCTCTGCCTGTTCCTCTGAGCCCCTCACAACCCAGGAACAGCACGCATCATTTCTGGCCGTACATCAGAATTAGCTGAAGTTGCAAACCCACCTTGATTTGCAGGAAAAGACTGGAAACGTGGAATTCAAAGAGGTAGTCGTTTGGCCCAGCACACGACAGGAAAAAAATCCATCAACTCAAGCCTGTCCTCGGAGAGACTTATACCACCCCTGGGATGAAAGGTCGAGATCTGGCAGCCAGGAGGTTTGGGAAAGTCGAAAACAGACACTATAAAGTCCCTGATTACATTTCACTGGACCACATTCAGGTTGGCCTCCCCTGGGAAATCAAGCAACCAAGATCCCCAATCTGCTTCCAGGGCCATAGAATGGATAGACAGACCTGAATCCAGCTTCGAGTGGTCGCAAGGGACCTGCCCTCTTAAGGGAAGTGAGGAGAGGGGCAAGAGAGGGCCCCTGAAGCAGGGAGCGACAGTGTATCCGCTGCAGTGAATACAGAACGGGAAAGCTAGACTCCCACACGCCAGTGCTCTGGCACCAACACTTTGGAAAACTTGGCTGCTTTGGGCTGGAATGACCTGGAGAGGTCATAGTGGATGAGCACAGTCCAGAAACATCAGGCTCAGTCCTTCTCAGTGCCAGCTATGCTAATGAGGAGAAAGGAGAGAGAACAACTGTGCGTGATTCAGAAAGCATTAGAAAGTTCGATGAGCTCAGCCACCGGAAGCTCAGGGCATGGTCCCTGGCCCGTGGTAAGCCCTCAAGCGCATCAGCCATCAGTATCACAACACAAGCAAAGAACTGCAATTAAAATGTCTACCAAAAGAGGGAAGCTTAAATAACTTATGCTAGATCTATCCATGGGCATGCTGTATAAGCAGTTTCAAAGTTACCGATAGATATGCACTGACTTAGAAAGACGCCTGTGATACCGTAAATGAAAAGATGACGTGAAGAATTTTATACACAGTATGAGCCCATTTCTTAATACAAACTATGTTTACGTATGTATGTGCAATACACGTTACTTGTATATGCATACACTCATTTAGGGAAAAGTCTGGAAGCATATATTACCTTAGACTGCAGTAGCGGGGGAGGGAGACTTCCTGTTTCAGAGAACTCCCGAAATTGCTAAATGTTTCAAGAATGTGTTATTTTTGTGAATTTTTTGAAATATAAAGTGGATGACTCAATTTTACTCAGCAATGTTCCCTGGAACTCTTAGCATGGAAGTAACCTCTTGTGTCTTCGTCCCTTCCTTCTCTCACCCACTGGTGCGGTCACTGTCGTGAGTCTGTGAGTTAGCCCAATTACCCAGCCCCAGATGCAGGGCCAAGAGATGCCCATGTTCCAGGGCCTGCCCTGAGGGGCACAGCTCCCACCGGGATGTAGGCAAGCAAATGAACGAGGATGGACAGTGACAAGACCCTCAAGAGAGGGGAGGAGAACACAGGGGAGTGAGCCAGGGAGCTCAGGGTGAAGATGTGCAGGAGGAAGGCAGGAGGACACGGAGGGGGAGGACATGGGACCCAGACACAGACCGATCACACAAGGACTTTAAAATAAGCATGATTATCATGCGGAAGGGCTGGGGTGCCTGGGGGGGGAGGGGGCTCCGTCGGTTAAACGCCAGACTTCGGCTCAGGTCATGATCTCACGGTTCATGGGTTTGAGCCCCACGTCGGGCTCTGTGCTGACGGCTCAGAGCCTGGATGGAGCCTGCTTCGGATTCTGTGTCTCCCTCTCTCTCTGCCCTTCCCCTGCTCATGCTCTGTCTCTTTCTGTCTCTCTCTCTCAAAAATAAGCAAACATTAAACAAAAATTAAAAAAAAAAAACAAAACACGCAGAAGGGTTGCTGGAAAGGCTGGACGTGCTCGGACAGTGAAGGATACAGGAACTCTGCATGCTCTGCTTGATTTTTCTTGAAATCCAAAACTACACTCAAAATTAAAATTTATTAACTAAATGGAAGCGAAATAAAGACTGTTTCATATAAAAGCTTGTGAGAATTCACGGGCAGCAGTCTTAGACTAACAAGAGTCAAAAAGGAGGTTCTTGCGGCCAAATGATGCCGAGTGAGAATGAGCATTTCACAAAAAGAAATGAAAAGCACGAAAACGGCCTAAATGATGGCAAATATCAAAAAAGTATGTTCCTCATTTTCATTGCTTTAGAAGATGGTTGGATATCTCCAGGAAATAAAGTAGCAAGGTACGGTGGGTGGGATGCATGATGGCGTGCACTACAGAAAAACAAGAGCACCAAAGGTGGGAAGAGGCAACGGCAGCCCCCGCGAGCATAGTCTGTACTCTCAGGACGTGCTCACGCAGGACCTTGCACCGTATGCAGAGTGGCATCATTTCATTGGAATACATGTTGTAATAAGTCAGCGAAGTACATTATACTCCCCAGAACAACCAATACAAATTTATTAAAGGAAGCGTAACTAATAAGCCGATAGATAGTGAAGATAAACTGGAATCGTAAAAATGGAAGCAAAAAAAGTCCAAAGAAATGATTCTTCTGTTTCAAATATGAAATACAAATTGTTTATGTTCACACACCCCCTCTCTGAAAGCAGCAGCAAAGGAGAAAAACAGCAAGACGAGTGGAGTCGATAGAAAACGAAAAGGGGGCATCTGGGTTAAGCGTCCGACTTTGGCTCAGGTCACGATCTCGTGGTTCATGGGGTCGAGCCCCGCGTGGGGCTCTGTGCCGACAGCTCGCGGAGCCGGGAGCCTACTTCGGAATCTGCGACTCCCCCCCACCCTCACCCCCTCCCCAGCTCATGCTCTGTCTCTGTCTCTCAAAAAATAAACAAACGTTAAAAAAAATTTTTTAAAAAGAAAACGAAAAGAAAGATGGTACATTTAAACCAACCAAACCCTATCAATCGTCACTTCAAATGTGTATGACCTAGGGGCGCCTGGGTGGCGCAGTTGGTCAGGCCTCCGGCTTCAGCCAGGTCACGATCTCGCGGTCCGTGAGTTCGAGCCCCGCGTCAGGCTCTGGGCTGATGGCTCAGAGCCTGGAGCCTGTTTCGGATTCTGTGTCTCCCTCTCTCTCTGCCCCTCCCCTCCCCTATTCATGCTCTGTCTCTCTCTGTCCCAAAATAAATAAAAAACGTTGAAAAAAAAAATTAAAAAAAAAAAATGTGTATGACCTAAACATTCATATTAAAAGGCAGAGATTAT